CTGCAGAAGCTACGCCTGAGACGGATCAAAGCGAATGCCCGCGAACGGAACAGGATGCATGGTTTAAATGCGGCCTTAGACACTCTGCGTCTGCATGTGCCTTGCACATCAAAAACTCAAAAGCTGTCCAAAATCGAAACTTTACGACTGGCCCGCAATTACATTTGTGCCTTGGGAGAGATTTTAAAGAATGGTATCAAACCAGACTGTGTCACCTTCGCCAAAGCTCTTTCCAAGGGCCTGTCGCAAAACACAATGAATCTGGTGGCCGGCTGTCTGCAGCTTAACCCGCGCACACTACACCCAGAATCGTCGCTGCCAAAAGCCTACCCTTACGGTTTTGGCAGTCAGATGGATTTTGCGAGTCCAATCAACCAGATAACTTACCCACCACCGTCATCTTTCCCGCCGTCTGCCTTACACCCGCAACAACAGCAGCAGCAGGTTCAGCAGCAACATGTACAGCCAACGCAACACCATCAGCAACCTCATCCACATTCACATCATTCTCATCAGCACCCGCCACACACCCACCAGCAACAACAGCTTCACCAGTCCTCCCCAAGTCATCAGCAACCTCAACAGCAGCAACACCCATCAGCGCAACAAGCACAGCAACAGCATCAACAGCAGTCGCAAAGAGTTTCACCTTCTTTGATGTCTACCAGAATGTCGACTCCAATACCTACCAACCGGATGTCGTCTACTCCGCATGCGCCGACTACTGGTATGGCAACATCTCTTCCACCTCCTTCTGCACAACAGTATACAACATATACTACCCCCCGTAATCCAAGTCCACTAAATGCTGAAAATCGTGAGGCCTCGTTACCCACAGGAAGTATGACCCCCAATATGATGACGTCATCGGCGCCGTTCTTACGATATTCTTCAAGCACGGCAGAAGGGGGCGGTTATATGGGCCCGGAAGTTGGAATGGGTCGTGCATACAATGAACAACAGAGCCAGTTGGAAAGCTGTAGTCAGCGAGTGTGCAGCCCTTACATCTTACTAGAGGACTTACCCGACTTTCATTCAGAACCAATTATGGAACACAACATGAATATGATGAACGGTGTCACTGTGCTCTTTGATGTCACCAGATAAAAGATTTATTTCGATGTCAAAAAATCCGCCCTTTTATCCCAGACTCTCACTATCCTTTCGCATGAAGAGAATAAATACAATTGCCGCTAAAACAGAACGCATCGCCTGGCTTTTCTTCCTGTAGAATAATTATTAAGGTGAATCAGACTCTTATATTCGCTTTCTTTCAACACAGACAACGCCCAGGTAATTAAGCTGAGGTGTTTTATTCGTTGATGTTCCTTCCATATTTAGAAATATCATCAAATTTAGAAGGACAACGTAAGTGTTCTAATTAATTAATTAATTAATTAATTAAGCTGTGTTAAAAAAAAAAACCCTCATAAACTAAACCAAACCATGCATTAGATTTGAAAAAAAAAAAAAAATAATGCAAAAATTATATCTATTTCAGTGCGTATATATTTTTGCCGATGAGGAGTGATTTTTCTCCGAGTAAAAATGAGTAGCTTGGTCTTTAATCTCTGCAGAGCCTACAGGCAAAATATTATTAAGTACATCGGATTTTCAGACTGAAAGATGTTAGCCCTTTTGATAATTCTGTCCAACCGATATGAAACTATAAAAGAATTTAAAAAAAAAATTTAAAAAATCCATTTTTCTGTTTGATAATTCGATTTTAATTTTATTCAAAGAAAGCTGCGAAAACAAAAATACATAAAAAAAAAAAATAATAAGTAAAGTGACTCTGCAAATTTTGAAATGATGATCAAAAGAAGGGAAAAGCTTCCTTCGTTTGCAAAAATCCGGTCTATGCGGTCACGTGATAACTGACCTAGAGCAATAACCCGTTTGCCTTCGCGCCGAAAATGGACGTTTTTATAACAAAAAAACCCCAAAAAACATCAGTGATCCAAGCGAATGGACTTTGAAATTAACAGATAAGGAACTGCTTGAAGAACTGACGATTCGGTAGAAATGCAGACCTGAAACAGACGAGAGAAAATGACAGAAATCTAAAAAAAAAAAGGACATTGAGTTACGCCTTCACAAACAAGACTGGATATCGATGCCGACATCGCACACCACAGATGCACACACCCACAGTTACATGCATTTACTTTGAACAATGACTGCATTCTAACGACCTATGGCCCAAGAAAGAAACACAATTCTTTTCTTGTGTTTACTTGGAATACACAAACGTGCTCGCTCACACACACACACACACACACACACACACACACACACACACACACACACACACACACATGTATATATATAAAAATAATTCCAAGAGGGGGTTACTGGCGTTTGGGGGGTAGTGCAAGAACACCATCGACCTCGCCCAGAGCCCGTAATCACCCTCATAGAGACTGACGGATACAAACGAAACACAACATTGATAATGCATCAATAAAAAAAATGTAAATGGACAATAATTATATATAATACTTACATGCGAAATATATGCATGCGTGCACACACAGACACACATATACACATACACACGCGCGTGCACACACACACACACACACACACACACACATATATATATATATATATATATATATATATGAAAACCCTTACACAAAAATCAATGGCAGTGTTCAGAACTTCATTGCAAGTATTCATGGCCTTATCATTTTTTTGCGTCCACAAAAAAACATTATAAGATTGACAACTGATGAAAAATTATACACACACACATATATATATAAAGAAAGAAAATAAAAACACGAACTCCAAATTGTAATTGCATTTTTGGTAAAGTTTTCATTGAGTGTTATTCTAGTCAGACATTCTCCTGTTGAAGAATTATATATATATATATATATATATATATATATATATATATATATATATATATATATATATAGATATAAAAAAGAAAATAAAAAGTTTTTCATTGAGTGTTATTCTAGTCAGACATTCTTCTTTAGGTTCGTTCCCCGGCCGAACTGAACATCAAGCCTTAAAAACCAACAATTTCCAGTTCAGCTGGATCGGGTCAAAATACTTTTGCTTAAAATCTACAAAAGATATATAAAAACAAAACGTACCATTTCAATACCATAATTTATGGATTGTGTTAGAATTAATAAATTATTATTATTATTATCACTATTGTTGTTGTTCGATTTCTTGTTGAATCTTTTGTTTTGTTTTCTTTGTTGTTTCTAGTAAATGCAGCTTCATTACTTCAATGGCATATTCCTCAGGCTGTCCGGTGAAGTATGGTGACACACAGGTGTCAAGAATAATGATTATATTGAAATGATAACAACCAGACGTGGAACTACTTAAATGAGGAATAACAAAACAATGGAAGGAGGACGAGGTTGGGCTTAACTTATGACAAACTGATAGTAAATAAAAGAAGCGTGGGTGCAACAAAGATCAGAGTGATGGTGTGAGGAATAAAGAAAATCCAAAGAAGATAGCGCCAACTGGATTATCCCAAGAATATGAACAAAATTCCACACCTTAGATTTGATTTTGGTTCAGCTGTACTCCAGTACTCGTAGCAAGCTTCAAATCATGTAATCATGTACAATACAATTTACATTTATGAGAAGATATTGAAAGCTAAGTTGCCCATGTTGCCAAGTATGTGAAATAGCACTTCGGGAATAAAAAGAAAAGGGACATACTGACAGACGAAAGGAAGAAAAACGCTTTTACTTCGCCAGAGATAGCCATGTGGAGCTGCTATCTCTCATAATGTGCGAGAAAAGGATAGAGATGTCTGTCCTATTTAGCTGCCGACTGGTAACAGGTGTGTCTGGTGGGGTTGTTACGTGACACATTATAACAAAGGTAGTTAATTATTTTTGTATCCCTACACCCTCATTCAAAAATACGGCATGTTACCTGTGCAATGAAATTATTATTATTATTATTATTATTATTATTATTATTATTATTATTTTCTTTGATTTCTGGCGTTTACATTTCTTTCCGGGTCCCTTGAGGACCTAAGGTTACAAATGGCGTCATGACACTTTCCACTGACAAAAAAAAAAAAAAATGATTACATAGATAAAGCCCTTCGTAAGGTGTGGGCTGTACTTGTCAGAACAATTTTCTGTATCTCCTTGAGGCATGGACTTCCAGGAATCCCTTCAATTAGTCTACTGGAATCTTTTCCAACCAGTCCTAGGGCTTCAACTACAACAGGGATTGTTGATGTTCCCCATATGCCACATTTTCGCGATTTCTATTTCAAGGTCCTTGTACTTTGACAACTTTTTTGAATATCTTCAAAGATACATTGCAGTCGGCAGGGACTGCCATATCAATAAGGAGGCACCGTTTTGTTTGTGGTCTTTAATAACAATATCTGGGCGGTTGGCCTTGATTGTTCTGTCAGTGTGTATTGTGTAGTCCCATAGAATTGTAACAGGTCCTATCTCCCCAACCGGGTCTGGGTGGTGTTCATACCAGTTTCTTTCAGTTTTCTTCCGTAGGAGTTGCAGATTTTCCAGTGCAGATATTGGCCCACTCTGTCATGTCGGGTTTTATATTCAGTGGGTGCCAACACCGTACAACCTGCTACAAGATGATCAATCGTTTCTGGATATTTATCACAGAATCTGCATTTTGGGCTGACACAATATTTTAGTATATGTGCTTGATAATTCCTAGTTAGCAAACATTGGTCCTGCCCAGCAAGGATAAAACCTTCAGTTTCCGCTTTCAACCCCTGCACTACGTAGCCCACTGATGGGTACGGGTTTTGTCTACGTCAGCTTGTTTGGTACGGGCAGAGTATTGGCCATGAAGCGGTTTATCTTGCCATCGCTTCTGTAACTGGTCTGTTGCATTCGTCTTAGCTATCTTTTTTAGGTATTTTGCAGTTTCAGCCGGTGTATTGTGCTGTAGTTGCATCTCTACGCCCATTTGGAACTCCATTTTGAATTTGTTGGCTTCCTTCATTACGGAGTAGAGACGCTTACTACTTTCATGTTCCTTGACGCATACCATCATCCAGTCTTCAGTAGTTTCCAAATATCTTTGGAGGCCAATTGTTGTAGTTTTGTAGGACAGTTCTAGTTGAACTATTATTATTATTATTATTATTAATATTATTATTATTAATATTAATATTATTATTATTTTGTTTTTGAGTAGTTTTTCTTCTATTCCTTATTGCAATTTTCGTCATAGAAAGGCAGAATTTGTGTTTGGTTTGTTTTACGGCATATCAACACCTTAATGGGTTATTTAATGCCGACAAGATTTTTATTGCTGGTAATATTTTTTTTCAAAAAGGTATTGCTGGTAATATTTTTTAAAGTATTTTTGGTAATATTCTTTCCAAAAATGTATTACTGGTAATAATGTACTGCTGGTAAGAATTTTTCTTCAGAAATTTATTACTGGTAATAATGTACTGCTGGTAAGAAATTTTTCTTCAAAAATTTATTGCTGGTAATAATTTTTTACAAAAATGTTTTGCTGGTGTTAAAACCTATTTTTACACGTTTTGACCCCAAGTTCGGTGTTAAGTATTTGCCCATAGCTGGAACCTTAACAAGTGCTACCACCTCGGGTCAGGGTGGACCTGGGAACACCAGCAATTAAGATGTGGTTCCACGCTCCTCAAAACCTCCTGATCAGAGGCCTTGCTGTCGGATATAGCCAGAACGGAAGGCAGATTTGCTTTATCCTATTCGTCATCATGTATCCATAACCCTGAAAGATACCTGTGCAGACGGTACTCGATAGCCTGTTTGGCAATCTGACTATCAGAAAGGCTAATCTGAGTTCATACCAGGTTTCAAGCTCGGGCAACAGAGGCTGGTTGGTTATGGTACCAGTACCTCCACTCGACGAGAGTCTCAGATATGGAGTGGCGTGGTTGCGGTCCTATGCTCCACAGTTCGAGTACTCTGTTATTGTGTCCTTATGCCAGACTAATCTAAGCTTAGAAAAGAGGAGCGACGCATTGTAATCTCACAGAATCATTACTACTTCTATGAATATTTCTGGCTGACCACAGTTTTAGCCTTGTGTCAGATTATGACAAACAGTCTGTGACACATCTGATACTCACA